ATTAGATAAACTATACAAGTACGACTGATACATGACTTTTTTCAATCTAGATATAAAATACAAAAGGAATTGATACATAAACATTAATCACATAAAGGTTATGTCAAATCACTACTTCTTGTAACTTAACTATTTATGATATAATGTTAAATGCCACTTATTGTTTGTATTATTAGAATTGTTCTATTTATTACTGCTAACGTTACATGAACCTGTAAAGGTCACACCTTACGATTGAAACGAAGAATTATTATCTAGATTACATGTGTACCAACTTATTTTAAACAAATAAGATATTTAGTTAAAGTAAATATAAATTTGATACACATATTATTTTAACTAAAATAAAATTATTGTAATTATAAATTATCATTTATATATGTATAAAAGAGAAATAATTATTACAATTATAAAACTCTTTAAATATATATATATATAATGAGTTTTATATTTGAAAAATATACAATTATTGTAATTATCAAACTCTTTTAAAATATAATATTTAATTTAAAATAATATATGTATCATAAAGTCTAATTTGAATTAAATTAAATTTTTTAAGGCTATATATAATGACATATGGCCTAGTCGAATTATATTTTTGTGCTAAACTATCTGATAGTTAGAGATCTAAAATTGTTCGCTTCAATGGGATGGACTATATAGAGGTCGAAATGTTATTGTATCAACCTAGAATTGGTATAGTGTGAACGAAACTGAATTCACAACACAACTTTGTAGTTTTGGCTTGAGGTTTTCCAAATTTTAACAGGTAATTTCTCATCTTATTCACCCCGATTCGTTCCTTGTAAATGGATCTATGAAGAGATCGTCGAATTAATTTTTTCACTGTGTTATGGGATGTACCAGTAGTCTCAACAAATCCCTCATCTTCTCAGTACACAATCGCTTAATCTCTTCAGCAGCTTTGGTCCTCTCGACTTGGGCGTCAAAAACTCTTTCTTGATGATTAGTAACTTATATTCTATTTTCTTGTATGAACCCCTTCTCAAACTTAGTGCATCGATCCTTTTTTTTTTTTGGGTGATAGCTAACCCAGAAGTATAGCGGCTCAATCTCAATAAATTTATCTCATAACCAATAATTGATATATCATATTGCTTTAAATCATGAAACGTTTGACTTCGGTCTTGCATGTATCTCTCTTCAATATAATGACTCTGAAAACGTTCCTTAAAGAAATTCAAAGTCAAGAGATCTACAAGAATACTCCTCACAACTAACTACCACCATCTATGATTCCTTCTTCAACATCGAGATTGCTCTCTTTAGTCTCTACTCAATCTAGAGGTCCAAATCATCCATAATCCTCTCGATATCCCCCAATTAATATTCGACATCGGTCGAGGGTCCTCCACTTATACCTTCAAAGGTCAATATCACAACATATAGGAGGGTCTCAAATATCATTGTAACATGCATACTACCTGAAGCTTTGACTACCCTCTGAAACATGCGAAAAGTAACTTTATTTATGATGTCATAGTACTCTTTGTATCCTCATCCTCAACAACGAATTGCTCTCTTTCCAATGAAAGATTATCTCAAGGGTGTGTTTGGTTCGTGGAATCTTAAATTTTCAAGGGGAATGTTTTTTTTCTGGAATTGTATTCCCACGTTTGGTTCATAGAATCTTACATTACCGGGAATACTCTTTTCTCAATAGTAACATTTTTTTGTTAAAATGGTAGGAATGTCATTACCTCCAAATTCTTAGGTAATCTTACATTCCCACCACTTTGGACAAGAATACCCTTGGACTAATGAATTATTTTTATAATGATCATTCTAAATTCTTATTTTTTATATTTTATTCAAAATTATAATAATAATAATAATAATAATAATAATAATATACAAACTGTTGATTTGCTAAAATATTAATAATTTTGAGAATTTAAAATATTTTATATTTTTAATATTCAATATTTTACTATTTATAATTTTATGGGATGAAAAAATAGTAATATTGTAAAAATATAATTATTTAAAATAATATTTTACTAACATAATATTATTTTTTATATTATATTATATATAAATAAATATGATACTTAGGAACATTATTTTAAAAAAAATTTAATATACTAATTATATTAATTATATATTAAATGCAATTTCTCCTCAAAAGTTAGATAGTATAACGATTAAAATATTTTTATGAATTTTCATTAAAATGTTTATAAATTAATATTAAAGTTTAACTTTAAAACAATATATCACAAGGATAATTTGGTAAAACATGCATTCAAGTAATCTTATATTCCTCCAACCAAACAGTGTAATCTTACATTCCTGCTCAACAAACCAAACAATGTAATATAATATTCTCATAGTAATGTTACATTCCAATAACGTTATTCTCAAATGTAATCTTATATTCTGTGAACCAAACGTCCCCTAAGATATAGGAAGATTCATTTGTGACGTAGAAGGGTCTACTCAAGATAAAGGAAGATCAAGAGCCATCAAATCATTCGCATGAGTGAAAGGTTGAGTTGTTCGACCACGATCACGAACGAGTCTACGACCTCGACTAGCTCTTATCGGATAAATTTGTAAGTCTTTATACCATAAGATTAAATCTATATTAAAATTGACATCGGAGTCTCGACTCCATTTAAAATTTATAAAATAAAGTGATGTGATATTTGGTGAAATATTTCCATTTTCCCCAAAATATTTCAATATACAAGATATATATATGAAAATAGATATTATATTTAGGACTCATGCACAGTCCGAGTGTTTAAAATCGAAAACTCTTATACCACTAGATATAACCACTTAGACCCGACATAAATGTTACGGTCAAATATTGTCACTCACATACTCTACCTCAAAAAAATTAAAAAATTTATACTTCATTTGAATAGAGAAAATTAATCGAAAAATTATTTTCATTGACAAAATAACAAAACGTCGAAAGTTATAAATGCATGTAGCATAAGAATTTACAGTAAAGACTTACCTCTACACAAAGTGATGAACCTATAATTAGAAATTATCAGTCTAATATAGATTAAACCTGAAATAAATTCCTCATTTAATAACCATCACTAGAACAACAAAAGTAAGAATGTATTTAGGAAAAAGTGTAATATGATCTATAAAATACATAATTATTTCGGTAAATCAAAACTAGCATACAAGTTATTAAAATAACTATAACTAGAAATCATACTTTTTAAAACAAGTGATGTAATCACACACTTATGGCGATCAAGTTAAATAAAATAAAACAGTAAAATAACACTATTAGGAAAAAAATATGTACTAAACTACGAAGTCGGACAGAAAAGTCTATTGAATGATTTGGCTATCACAGTCAACAACGGTGCTAGACCTAAGTATCAAATAAACCATATTACTATTTTGATAAAAGGGTAAATTATAAATTTCATCACTGAGTTTTACTCTCTCTTATTTTACTCTGAATTTTAAAAGTTTTTAATTTTTTCATTGAACTTCATACATTAGGTTTTTTTGTCACTATACCATTAAATAGTTAACGGCATTAAAATGACACAACTTAAAAAAAAACAAAACTTTCACCAAAACGACGTCGTTTTGCATCTGTATAACGCCGTTAGAGAGAAAACGACTGAGTGGTAAAAAAACCCAATGTATTAAGTTTAGTGAGGAAATTGAAGAGATTTAAAGTACACTGAGTGAAATATGAGAGTAAAATTCAATTACCAAATTTATAATTTACCCTTAATAAAAAAACAAATATGAACTCTACAATGACAATTTACAAAAACATACGAATAATATTTTAAGTGCGAGAATCATGTGAATATACTAAACAACATATTTCAGATTTGGTTGATAATCAAGCAAAACATGATAAAATATAATTCTAAATCAGTTCGTTATCTGAAGTCTATTAAAGTGATTAAAATACTTGGTTATAAATGTATGCTTGGGTCAACAAACTTAATTCAGGACTTTTGGGTTGAAATTTAATGAAACAAACCACAAAAAAGAATCAATACGTCAAAAAAATGACATGGTAAAAGTCCAAGTCAACGCCAATCAAAATCAATGATCAATAGTCCAAATCAATAGTCAATGCTCAACAGTAAACGATCAACAATCAAAGTTAACGATCAACATCTCAATTTGGCGAGATCAGTTCATTTTGGCTAGACGAGTTTAGTGTGGACCGATTTGAGTTGGTTTTGATTCAACCTGGAATTTTAAACCCTAATAAAATGGGCTCAACAAACAAGTGCGTCAAACAAGACGACCCAACAGGCGGCCTGGCTGAAGCAGACTCGGGTACGAGCACTGGTCTGGTGCAAGGTGGGTTTCCATGCGATGGAAGAAACCAACACGCAGAAGCAACGCGTGCGACAATCACTGGTGCTCGAAAATGAACCAAAAACTTTAGAACTGAATAAAATCAATTAAGTAGCCTGATACCTGAGTTGTTTTACGACAGAGAGCAACAAAGAGGTGCATTCTTAAACGATTTGGGTAAACTACCTATTTTGTAACACATCTATTACTTAGTTTCTATTTTGGTCATCAAACTATTTTTTTCAAACTCAAGTTTTTGGTTTTATTTTAGTCACTGCCATTAAAAATTACCAAATAATCTTCGAGTATTAGAACTATAATAAAATCTAATTTAATTATCTATTAGTGTTTAAATCAGTGCACAACAATGAACGAGAGACTTGCTATAAATGCAAAGATTACAAAAGTTAAAAATGTCGATATATCTTGAAAAAAAAACATCGAAGTGCTGAACCTGTGTTCTCCAACAAATATAGATAATCAACTCTTTCCCACGTTCCTAAATCTGTAGGAGACCTCACAGTAAACCAATTTCAACAGTGTGCAACAAACCGGTTCAGTGAGATACTAGCAAACACAATTTCAGAAAATTACTAATCTCAAGTAACCTAATTTTATCATAGGCTTAAAGAAGGCATGCAGATTGGTGTCAAAACCTGTAAACCAAACATTCCCCCTGCTGTTTTTGGCCTTATATGAACTCAAGAAAAGAACGAAGGACTGAAAATTTGTTGCCTTTTTGGATATATGGATGTCCCAAAATATTTTGTACGACTTTCTTTCCGAACTGTTAGATTGTTATTTCAGACCATCCGGCATAAAATGAAAAAACCATCCTTGCCTTAATTCAGAAATGCTTCACTAATTCCTCTTGCAAATAATGAGAAGGGAAAAAAATAAGAGGCAAAAGAATTTTTACTTTGTCACACTCCAATAATTTACGGAGATGCGTGATTGAATTTCGTCGGTAAGCATTCTTCACTGAGTGGTCACGCTTTTTGCAAGATTCCGAGGCTGGTCGACATTGTATCCCCTTAAGACAGTGAGATGATATGCCAGTAACTGCACAAAAAATGCAAAGGGTATGTTCATTAGCATACCAAGAGATAAAAGTTGTCTTAGCATTGTATACTTGAGAAGACTGCAATGGGTACCCTATAGATAGATACCTTGCAGTAGCCAAATATTATATTTAGTTTATATATTTTTTATTCATAAATTTATTATTAATGTAATAATTAAATCTCTTCTTCATGTGTGTGTATATCAGAAGATAAAGGAATGAAGTTGTCTTGTCACTTACAGAATGCATAACGCCCATAATTCAAGTATAGTTCAATATTCATTATCCAGTAAATTGTTAATTTCATGGTAAGAGGCAAGCTAAAATAATTATGAAAAGGATACCTGAAATGGAACTATATTAACCACAGGTTGAAGACAGTCCTCAACCTGAGGAACTTCAATTACTCGACAGCCTCCTCCAGGACACACTGATGCAGCATCTCCTTTTGAACACATTACTATCAAGCGCCCTTTGCGGGCACGTAGTTGCTGTATAACTGACTGCTGCTTGCTGTTAGCAATCAGAAGATGTCAGTGCCAAACAATTGAAAGTAATAAAATAACATAATTTCTCAATAATGAAACCAACCTGAAGCAAGCATCACGGGTAGCAATCACAACAATGGGGAGATTTTCATCAACTAGTGCCAATGGACCATGCTTCATTTCACCGGCAAGTATCCCCTCACTATGCATAAGTGCAACTTCCTTCACTTTTAGAGCACCTTCCAAAGCAGTTGCATAATTGTATCCTCTCCCGAAGACAAGAAGTGACTGCTCAGCAATCAATAGTTTTGCAAGATCTTTCATTTCCTGGTCAAGCTTCAGTACCTCCCTGATTTTATCTGTAAATTCAGAAAATAACACAAAATTAGAAAGCCACAAAAACAAAGTGAAAAGGGGAAATTTTTTAGAATATATATAGAAAAAGGGAACCAGGTTTTAGACTAACTTGGCAGATCGAATAGACCATCTATTATAGCCTCCCTTCTCTCTTGTTTAGAAATTGTGTCACCTCCAATTGCCAAAGCTAACATGGCCATCACCACTATTTGACTTGTATATGCCTGTTAATAACAGCGTGAGTTTTGTTTGTTTGTTTGGTTTTTGTCTTTTGTTTTGTTTTTTGTTTTTTTTTTTTTGCTTAACTATAAAACAAAAGGACAGAGATTCCTTGATCTTGTATTTATTTACCTTGGTACTTGCTACACCAATTTCACAACCAGCATTTATATGAACACCACAGTGTGTATTCCGATCTATTACACTCCCAACAGTATTTGTGATGCCAACACATAAAGCGCCTTTCTCCAAAGCATATTCCAGAGCAAGCAATGTATCAGCTGTTTCACCAGATTGACTCACAAAAACTACTGTATCCTCTCTGTATATAAGACCTTGCCGATCCAACAGATCACTAGCAATTTCCATTGTAACAGGCACCCCTATTTTTCCATATAAATCAAATAAACAAGTTGAAAAATGAAAATAAGAAATTTTAACGTGTACAGAATCATATTTCCCAGACAAATAGCAGTTACCAGACAATTCTTCCATGATGGGTCTAGCAGCTAAAGCAGCATTGTAACTTGTACCACAACCAATAAACACAATCCTTCGGCTTCGCCTAATTGTTTTAAGGTGATCCTTCAGTCCACCCAAAAGAACAGTCTTGGCCTTGCAGGAACCTCCACGTAGAAGCCTTCCTCTCATGGTAGTTGTTAGAGATTCTGGCTGTTCATGAATTTCTTTCTGCATATAATGCTTGTATTTTCCCTTATTTATTTGTTCAACCTCCATCTCAAGAATAGATAATGCACGTTGCACTGATGCAGGCCTAGCAGAACGACTGTCTCCATTTCTTCCTTTGTCATTATTAAACTTTAGGATAGATACATCTCCTTCCTGAAGAAGCCAAGTAGCATGAGGAGAAAATAAGAATTAATGGACCACCATTTCAAAAACTAATAGTATCTGTCATCAGTTAACTATGATTCTATGAACCAGGAGCAAAGATGATGAGCTCAAAAGTTGCAGAGTTTAATTTCCCAGATGGTTGGATTATACTTTAGGGCTGAACTTAACAAAATAGAAGGGAAAAGGGAGCCACAAGGGCCATTTTACTCTGAAAATAAAATATATGATGTAAACATACTTGAATATTCCTATCCATGAGGATAGAATAGGATTAAAGTAAAAAGTCGTTCACTAAGATCAATATCAATCTAATAGATGTTAATGTGACAGTCTGCCATTCTTTGCTTAAATTTGGCATTCTCAGAAACTGGTTACAATTGTAACCAGTCTTACAACTAGTAAACTTGATAATAACAAACATCAAACCAGAAGAGCACAACATTGCAATGGTCAAAACAAAAAGGGCTGTAAATGAGATGAGAAAGATCGCAAGCTACTCAAATACGACTCGGTCAAAGCTCAGTCAATACTAGAATCGAATAGACTCAATTCGAGCTTGAACTCGACTCAAATTCTTACCAAGTAGAAGTGAGCTATTTGATATCCGACTCGAAAAAAATGATATATTAAAATTTTAATTTTTTAAATTAAATTAATAATAATATTAACATTTACATTTAAAAAAAATACAATATAAGGGTTTCATGTACTTAAGGTTCAGGTTCGAACTCGAGTTCGAACTTGATAGGAGCTCAAGTTTGAGCTTCAATCGAGTTCAGTCTGAGAATGTTTCGAGTTCAAGTTTTTTGAAGCTCGAGTCAAGCTTCAAATTTTGATTTCGAGTAGAGCTTGAAAATTTTAAGCCCGTGAGCTTTCGAGTCGAGTCGAGCTCAGCAATAGTTGAGCTCGACTCAACTCGTTTACAGCCCTACTAACAAAAGCGTCCCACTTGGTTAGAAAACCAACTATTGAAATGGTTGGAAACATCCAAAAAAAAAATAGAAACTCCAGAAGGGAAAAAATTGGTCGGCACATCACTAAAACCCTATTGACAGTGAACAAAATTGTTCTCTTGTATGTCTTACTGACAATAGGTAGCAACTATTTATAGTTTACAAGGAATGCCTAGTCTGGGAAAGTTTTAACTACACAATATCATAATTATTGTGTCTTTACAACAGAATATCTTGTTTTTAGTAACAACTTGCATTGACTCGAATATTACGGAAATAGCATTTATTCTTGGAAAATCTACATGTTATAAAAATGTAGGATAGAAAGAGAGGGCAAACAAGGAATAAAACTGAAAAAAAATTATGTGCAGAAAAATAATTGAAGAATAGAACATGAAAATGTTGAACATGGAAATGTTGTAAGATATACCATGCATAAAAAGACAACTAGAATAAGAGAATACTTGCAACTTATCTAAAGGATTAAATGTACCTTAAGATGAACTACTTCACCGTCCTCGATGACAAGAACTTTCTTTGTGTGTTCAACAATTGCATTTGCATCACTTGATAGAAAAAGTTCCTTAGGATTGCTATTTTGTAAGAGAAATTTAGCATCATGGAATGCTGATCCATTGCAGATATCATCATTTTCCTGAGAGAAAGCAATTTTTTAAATAAAAAACACATTAATCTGACAGATAAAGTAATATGCAACCAAAAATAATTAGAAAGTCTGCACTGAATCTGTAATCTTCTACCATTTATACGTAAAACCAAAACCCATTAAAAGTACGTACAAATAGTAAATGGTAAAATGAGAAAGCTAAAACTTTATAAATGCTTGCACTATAGCAAGATTTTTTTTATATAGTTTACTGGAGAGAACAAATTGCACAGTATAATGCAGACACCTCTTGGAAAAAACCTCCACATGAAGGAAGATAAGTCATGCTTCCCTATGTTTCTCGTTTGTACCAAATTGTTAGGCAATTGACACATGAAATCTGTTCCTACAGCTGGTAATGTTGGATCAAAATACTATCAAGAGCGAAAGCATGAAATCCAATCCTTCTAACTTCTTTACAGATGGACCATTCAACTGCGACAACCCAAAGACAAAGCTGCTAGCAGCCATATACTTGAACACCACACCATTAGTCAAAAAGCTAGGTTCATGAACCTGGAGCTTAATCCAAATGGTTCGCCCATTTTCCGTTGGAGGCAAATTTCATCAAGGTTAGAATTGATCCCTAACACCTGTAAATTTCCCTTCCCCAGGCCCCTAAACCGTGGTCTTCATTGTAATAAAAAAGAAAAAGAAAAGAACTTTTTACTTTCAAATTTAAATATGTAAGTGGCAAAAAAAACTAAAATTTGTTTTTTTTTATTCCCTCGCAAAGAGTAAGAGCAACTTGTATGAATCATACGATTAGTGATGGCCAGTTCAACTAAATGTTGCACAACTGAAAAGCAAAATATCTTAGAAAAGAGGATAGATATGTGTTGACCGGTTAAGTAGACAACAAACGTAGGTGATGATCAGAGTGTCTTTCTGGTGGTTTTGGATCTAGGTTTTTGGTGGTTTTAGTTGTACGTGTGTTTACCCTCTGTTGCATGGCTATTTATAATGCCCTGAACAGGTGTCAATTGAGAGTTGTCGTGGCATTGGTGTTGATGGGACGTCTTAGGAAGTGATGGTGTACACTAGTCCTCGGATGCGGCCACGTGTGTTAACACGTGGCCATTAGGCATCGCCCGCAAGATGGGCTTGCGAGGTTGTTGATGGGATACACGCCGATGAGGGTTCGGGAAGGTCACTCTCTATTCGGATGATGATTCACATGGTTTGGCAGGGGGTTCGCTGTTAGTAACAATATGAGAATGGTGTGCACTTGTGCTAGATGTAAGGAATAAAGAGATAAAATTTACAAAAGGTGCATAAAGGAAAATGCCAAGGTTGCAGCAACTGAGGGAAAAAACTGAAAACAAAAACATCTTAAGATAGTATGTATATGTAAAGGGAACACTACACATGCCAATTTGTGCAGATATTATTTAATGAGAATAAATTTCAATAGTAAGGATGAATAGGGATTACTCTTAGACAATTTTCTTCTAAAACTCTTTTCTCCTCTTTTCAGTACATGGAAAAATAAATGTATTTTACATCTTAAGTACATTTAAAAGTAAAAATGGTTTGTACTCATACAATGAGTACATTTTCGAATACAAATAAAACTTTTGTTAATCCTTTATTTAGTTCATTAAAAAGGCATATTTATACTAAATATATGCCATCCAAGTTTTTTTTTTTTTATAGAAGTAGGAGGTCTCATTAAAAACCCCTTTCATATTTATCCCTTACCAAGAGGAAAGGGATACCTAGCGGAAGAAGTTAAAGATTACCTCAGTTTATTGATTTCTCAAAATTACATAATAAAACCTTTACATAACATCCGGAATGTTAACCTCAAAAGATTCAAGAACAGCCTATATAACAGCTAACAATTAACCGATCCTTCATTAGCTAACTTATCAGCCTCCCAATTACATTCCCTAGAAATGAACTTTACTATCAATGCCCTATAGAATATAGAAGATTCAATCTCCTTAATTAAATTACTAAAGAACATAGGGGCAAGACATGGAGAGTGGATCCATTCCACGGCAGTTTTGCAGTCACTTTCGAGAATCAACCTGCCTTTAGTAGACCAGATTGAGGAATAAAAAACTTCAGTTGCTATTTTAATAGCCTTCAACTCTACTAAAGGGGAGGGTCCTGACCCAATACTCTCTGAAAACGTTGCTAGAATGAAGCCATCTGAATTTCTAAGAATACCTCCTATGTCACTAGCCATCACATTTCTTCCAACAGCACCATCAACATTAAACTTAAAAAAATCGACGGGAGGAGGTAGCCATTTAGGAACAGCCGAATTTGGCATCTTAGAACAACGTATCCCATCTGCTAAAAACGGATCAGCCATTAGCGAATCCACTGAAATCTTAACTTGAGGAAACTTTGCTTGAAACCACTTTTGCTAATCTGAACCTAACAGTGAAGAAAAGGGATGACCTATCCAGTACCTTATTCTCAAAAACAATTGAATTCCTATATTTCCATAACGACTATAAGACCACACCTGGAATAAACTCCCAAATCGCTGAATTTCCCACCAAATTAGGCCACGAACAAATGAGAGAAGGGATATCACAATGCAAAGTTGTACTAACATCCCAAATTCTGAAGAATTTACACCATAACTCCCCAGCCACTAAGCAGAAAATAAACAAGTGTTGGACAGTTTCTTCACTCTGTTTACACATCGGACACAACTCGCCATTTGATAAAGGAACTCCCCTAATCTTCAATTCTGATTTAACTGCCAGCTTTTGGTGAGTAACTTGCCAAAGAAAAGTTTCAATTCTAGGAGGAACCATCCCCGACCAAACACGAGTCTTCCAAATAGGGTTCTCCATTTGATCCTTACCTATAGTAAGTCTGCAGGATTTGACCGAAAACAACTCATCTCTTTTCCCGGACTAAGCTAAAAAATCATCCACTGCATCTGTCAACTGAATGTTGTTCAATTTTATCATTAATTTCAGCCATTGTTCCAATTCTCAATCACACAAATTTCTTCTAGTTTTAATATTCCAAATACAGCCATTAGATTCATAACAACCAAAATCGACCACCTTACCCCATTTGTTTGGAGTCAAAGCAAAGATTCTAGGAAACTGAAGTTTCAAAGGGATATTATTAACCCAGACATCGTTCCAAAAAGAAATTGATTTACCATTACCAACCTGGAATGGGATCTTAACCTCTCACCGATCAAATCATTCCTCAAAAAGCTTTTAACTGTCCCTTTCCAAATCCATGAATCTTGGGGACAAAACACCGTACTAACTGACATTGACGAGCAATCTACATTGTGTTTGCAGCAAATCAACTCCTTCCATAAAGTGTCCTCGTTTGCAAACTTCCAAGTCTATTTTCCTAGCAAAGCCCGATTTGTAAGATCTAAATCTAAGACCCCCAGACCTCTATTTTCAATCGGACGACACACCGTTTGCCAATTCACCCAATGGATACGGTTCTTCTCTGAACTGTCCCCCCACAAGAATCTGGCCATCAACGAATTCAATTTCTGACTAACTTTACACGTCAATTTGAAGACGGATAAGTAAAAAATCGGAAGAGAAGACAAAATCGATTTCAAGAGCACCAATCTGCCGGCCAAAGATAGGGTAGAAGCTTTCCATCCCGCCAACCTGATGTTGAACCTCTGTATAACCGGATCCCACAGTCTTTGAATTCTTCTTAGCTCCTAAAGGTAACCCTAGGTATTCCGTCGGAAAAGAACCCACAGAGCAACCTATAGATGAAGCCCAATCTTTCAGTATCTCTTCTTCCAAATTGATTCCATACAAGTGACTTTTCAAGAGATTTAGATTGAACCCGACCATTAAGCTGAAAATTCTCAATACTCTCTTAACATTTTTGACTTGTCCCAGGAAGCGAGGCAGAATATTATCAAATCATCTGCAAATTGAAGATGGGACAACTGGCAGAAATTTTTTGACCCTCCAACCTTGAAACCATAAAATAGGCTTAATTTAACCGCTTTAGACAACATCAAGTGTAGTAATTCCCCTACTAAATTGAATAAAATTGGAGAAAGGTTGCAACCTTATCTCAAACCTTTAGACATCGGAATCTCCTTTGTTGGGGTGCCATTCAGAAGAACAGAGGATAAGCAAAGAGAGATCCACGAACACCATCTCTCACCAAATCCCATCTCCTTCATGATTCTTAAAAGTATTGATCATTCAACTGTATCATAAGCTCTCCGGAAATCTTCTTTTAAGACCACACCTTTTAGACCCTTTTTCCTCCAATAGTTTATTCCCTCATTAGCAATCAATGCACAATCCAACAATTGCCTTCCTGGGATGAATGTGAACTGAGACGAGCTAACAATATCATCAACGCACGAGATAAGTCTCTTTGACAATACTTTAGACAAGATATTATACATATTTTCAACGAGACTAATGGGCCTATAGTCATCCAAATATTCTGGATTTAACTTTCAAAATCAATGTAATGAAGGCATGGTTGACTTCGTGCTCCCATTTCTTCTTCTGATAAAAATTGACAAAGAATTTCATCACCGACTCCTTCAGACTAGGCCAACACTTCTTAAAAAACCCATAGTGAGCCCATCCGGACCAGGCGCCTTATTACTATCCGAACTCGATATCGCTTCCCAAACTTCTTGTTCCATGAATTGCACCTCAAGTCTATGTCATCCAAAATAGTTAAAATAATTAGAAGAAGAATCTTTTACATAAAAAATCATCAATAAAAATGACATCTTAACTAATAATTAACTTAAAAAATCACTGATTATAAAGAGTTTACTTGAATAATACGAACACAACCACCTGTAAGATTAAAAAAAAGATGAGTGAGAGGGTCAGGAAAGTTTTTTTTTTATAAAAGTCGGAGGTCTCATTAAAAAACCCCTTCATAATTGATCTTTTCCAAAAGGTAAGGAACAACTAGCGGAAAGAGGAAAAGAGTACCTCATTTATTGATATGAATTCATACAACAATAAGCCTTCGCATTACAATAGATAA